GCGTCTCCATACAAATCTCTATAAATTTGGGTAAAAAATTTCTCCGCATATCTCGCATAAGAAAAATTGCTGTGACCAGAATTTTGGCGAGAGGCTTTGCATATTTACCTTCTTTCATTTCCCAGATTCTGGACTTTATCAATTGACCGGTTTTGATTTTTATTTTGATCTATTTTGAATTGAGTGACACTGAAAACCAGCAATACCTTCTGAGTCACACCTGAAATGGGGTGAAAATACGGTAGCACTCCAATGAGCCTATAATAGGGAAATGTAGGGCTCATCCTCATCCTCGATATTTTATCCTGATTTTGGCAATTATGCTATGATCATTTCTAGGGAGCTCACAGCTGTTTAAATGGTTGCTGTAAATCAAAACCTTGCCTTCATGGCGGCACATGCATGGAAAAATGTGATGACGTCAGAGAACGGTACGCCTGCGCATGCCCAAATCACTACCAGGGAAAGCGATGCGAGATATTTCACCCAGAAGTAAGCTCGTGCCAAGCTTACATAAAGTTGAAACCAGGATCTCTCTCGGGTGTTTATGGCCTTAATGACACTATTCAGACTTATTGTGACTTTGATTCTGAAGCTGGAAAAGCCTGGACTCTGATTGAATCGTTCTCTCTGGCAAACAAGGCACTTTATCGAAATCAACCATTTTATTACAACTTTACCCAAAACGAGAGAAATTTTAACTGGAGCAACTTTCGATTGTCTAACCAAACTATGGTTAACATCCGGGACAACTCGACGCACTGGCGCGTGACATGCGACTTCCCATCAGGCCTCAATTTCACTGACTACGCACGCGCGTCTCTTCTAGACACAGATATTCTCACATTTGTCAATCAAGACCAATGCAGGAGATACGAGTTCATATCAGTCCGTGGAATAAGCTGCTCCAATTGCACGGGAATGCTGGTTCAAAGAGATAACCAGCATATGCACACAGACTCATACTGGAGCGGACTAAACCGCTGTCAATGGAATCCGGGGTCTGGTGCAGTAACGAACGAAGATAATTTTGGTTTTTATAACGTTATCAACCCGCAGCACAAGTGCACGGAGAAACCTCATTCTACCACACAGTGGTGGCTTGGATCAGAAATCTAAAACTGTTCAGCTGAAGATCTGTACTGTTTAATTCAAGAAAGATCAGCTTCTTTCGATCTTCGGCTTATCGCTGTAACGATATATATCACCTTAGGGGTTAGGGTAGGGGTTTCTTAGCAACAAAGTCTTATGAAAACATCCTTTAAGCTTGCTAGCTAGCCTAGATGGTGCATACGAGGCTTTTAACTTAGAAATTGGTAAAAGGGCAAAGGCCTGGGAAAAAAGTTGTGCATTCACAAAATGAAAGGACAAAAACTATGGGATAATACTCGATTGAAAAACTCTCCATGAAGTTTAAAAGGAGACTCTGATCTTGAACAGTCTAAAACTTGAAACTGGGGATCAGTTTACTTGACATTTTTCCTAAGATTTTAGTTGGTGCCTGTCGAGTCTCCTCCTCAGCTTGTTTCTGTTGACTAATCGTTTGGAGAAGTTTTGCTTGTTCTCCCAACAGCTCATATATTCCTTTGATTCTGCAAGGTGAACCGCAAAAAAGGTTATTATTTAGCCTGCTGCTGTTAGGTTTTATTTAAATCTATCTTTTATTCACCTAAGCCCTATTGCCAACCATTTTTCCCGTCCAGATATATGTCAGTCTTCTCTTCTCGAATAGTTTTAAGTTGTTCTGAGTAACTTTAATCTAGCTGTCTCCCAAGATNTGTTCCTGAACCTACGTCACGACTCACTTCAAACCGAGGAAGACTGGTGCGAATGGTGGACCAAAATGGCTGCAAATTTGAACGTCTTTAGAAACTTTTAAAAAAATTGCGTTTTATCCAAATCAAAAAATTTTTTCGCAGAAGTTCATTAGGTGAAATGTAGAATTAGATGAGCGAAAAACATTTTTGACATTATGGGTACTTTAAACTATAGCAAAGAATAATAAGGGGTCAGTCCTTCCAACCCTTCAATGCAGTTGAACCACCCAGAAGGACATCTAAAGATCCGCATCTAAGGGCCCCTATACGCGGGAGGTCCTCCTATATGGAGCTGACAAGTGCAGTTTGGTCAAAAGAGAATGAATGTCCCTTGGCGGCAAATTATGCAAAACGAGCGATTAGGCAAAAACTATACATAATTCCCATGCGGATTCACAGTTCAAGAAACTAATTACAGACAGACTTGTGTTGATCACGTGTAGCGCACGTGATTTGTCACGCGCAGAACACTGGATGCTTGAATCGAATGAGTGATTTTCTTTAACTAACCTCTCGTGACTGGCTATAGCAAGTGACACGCTTTTCCTGTCAGAATTCAATGCAGCGTCCAAAACATTATGATTCTTATTGTTCAAGAGGATCTCCTGTTCCGGATAAGACAGCAAGCACGATACAACTTCAGGAGAATCATGGATGGCGGCTAAATGTAGAGCGGTGTTCTGGGCGAGAGGAGAAAAGACGACAAGAAGTTGAAATAATGTATTGGACGAAAAATAACAACACACACAGAAGCAAAACAAAACGAAGCGAAACAAAATAAAATAAAGGCCCCCGGCTCGCTTCTTAATTCACGTATCACGAGAATAGTTAAGAGTAGGGTTGAAATAAAGTAGGGGAGGGGGGGGTGGGAGTCCAAGCGTTGTGGTTTAGATGCGCGTTTCGGATTTCTTTTAACATAAACAAAAAATGCAACAGTAGTAACAAAAGAAAGATTTACTGACCTGATTTTTGTCAAAGAGGTTAATGCACTTAGGGTGATGTTGTAGAATATATTGCACGCATCTCTTGGATCCTCTTATAGCTGCAATATGGAGGGCTGTTCTGTCGTTATGATCCCTGACACCAAAAATATTATAGCTTGTTTTATTTTTGCCTGGACTAAAGACTGAAACATTCACCTCATACCTTAACATCAAATACAAGTCTTTCAGGGTGGATTTAGGGAGGTGGAGGGGGGGTGGATTGGTCGGTTAGTCATCCCCATTTTGAAGAAGCGAAATGAAGAAACAATTGAAAAAAAATTATGAATATTATGGCAGCAAACGCGCTGGAAAGGTACCTCATTGTAATTTTTACTTGATGGCATTGCTTGTATGCAATTCTCACATTGCATGCCCCATTGATTATGCAACCCTAAGGTACCAGATATATGAGGCCTTATGTGCCACGAGGCACAAAGAAGCTAAGTGAAGTGAAGTGAAGGTACCAGATATACTGATAATGAAAAAAAAAAAAAAAAAAAAAGAAAAAGAAAAAAAACACGCACGATACTTGAAACTTAAAGGAGCTTCGTCACGGTGTGCGAATCTTGAAAAGTTAAGCGTAAATTTTTCAAGTTCGTCGTTTGTAATCCGCGTTAATCTTCTCCATCCTTATCCGTCCTTGTTACTTTACGGTATAGTATTATCTCTATAGTGTTTTTCTATCTTAGCAAACTATCATTTTCCGGTTTTCTTTAATTTAAAATTAATTCTTTACTTGGCCAAGATAACTCAAAATACCATGACTGAGCTCCTTTAATTGGAATTATCAACAAGTTTGAGAAGTTGTTTATGAAAGTAATTTCGTCTCATTTCATCTTTTGGGAGAGCAAGGGTACTAGAGCCCAGTGGCACACAAATTTTAAATATCTTAAATAACTGCAGTCCTTAATATTTCTGTAAGCCTACTTTTCCACAGTGGCACCAAGATTAAGCAAAAGTTCAACCACTCGGTCGTGCCCTTCTACGCATGCGAAGTGTAGAGCTGTCTTTCCTTGACAGTCTTTGAGGTTAATGGAACGAATGTTACGATCGGTCAGCAGCGCTCCAACTACTTCGTGCCAGCCATATCTAAGATAGGAAAAGCAAATTATGGTGTAAAAACGGTGTGTTTTGTGGTCTTAAATCCATGGTTTTAAGGTGCCCACAACACAATTAGTACATTTTGAAGGATAAAAGCCATGTATTCGCTAGTGTGCGCAAGAACAGGCTCTGATCAGGAACTGGAATAAGCGATGTGTTCACAACAATTGAATAATACGTGTTCCCCCTACCGGCCTTAAGGTTACAGTATACCTTCAGGGGTGTCTCGCGCGCAAGCGATGTAGCGCGTGCAGTTTAAGCTGTAGATAACTAAACCCCTATATCAAATTAAAGCTTATGGAGCTGGC